CCCTCCACCAAAAGCCAGAATAAGCTTGCAGTGAAAGCAGGGAGCAGTAATGGCTGCTCCACATGCAAAGAGCAGGGAGGGAAACGCAGGAGGAGTCAGGAGAGGTGATCGGTCTGATCGTATCCAGGTGAGACGGGTGTCTGGAGGGACGGACAGGAGCAGGAAGGAGCAAGGAACAGACTGACGTGTCTCCAAGATGCGCGTACCCACATACGATCAGACTGAACTCCTGGATTCTCCTTCCCCCTGTTCTCTGTGAAAAGGTGAGCGTGGCCAAAGCCTCTGCCACGCTCTGTGCTTGCTAGAGTCCAGGGGGAGGTGAGAAGCTGGGCTCCCGTTCACTGCCTGCCCACCTCTTGTGCCTGTGTAGGCCGTCGTGAAAGCATCCCACGAGGGCGTCAGCAGTGCTCCAGAAATAGAGCAGCACGAAAAATCGCACAAGGCCGCCCATGAGTCAGCAGCACCCCTGCTGCAGTGGAGAACGTGAAGCTGGCAGGTTTAAGGAGATGATCATTCCTCTTGAGTTGGTACCTCTGAGGCACAGCTGGGTACTAGCTCCAGCCTGGGGCTCCCCGGAACAAGACAGATCATAGATATATAGCAGAGAAAACCAGCTTTAGGAAGGCAAGGCAAAGAGGGGAGCTACCTACAAGGGGGCACAGGGAAACCAGAGCCCAGTTCTTCTCAGAGACGCACCTGGGAGGACAAGAGGCAATGGCGACATGGGACATTCTTGCTGGGCATAAGGAGAAAATTATTCTGCGCAAGAGTGGCGCAGCCATGGTGTGGCTCTGGGACAGGGTGACATCTCCATCCTCAGGGACTTGCCGAGCCCAGCTAGATGAGGCTCCGAGTTGCTTGCTGTAGCTTTGCCACCAGCCCTGCATGGAGCCAGGGCTGGACCACAGACCTCCCGAGCCCCTTCCAGCCTAAAATCTACCTGATGCTCCAACGTGCATTGTGCAATGGCGAGCTGGTGATTTGACTCAGGAGATGGCCAACACCAATCCACCGCCCACAGCTTGGCTCTTCCATCCAGCTGATGCCCCCGTCACCAGAGCTGCCTTCCATCCCCTGCTGACTTCACAAGTTCGGGTGCCACGGAGGAACTGGAGGAGATGAGCAATGGAGAAAGTAAATCACTGTGGAAAAAATGTGTGGTTTGATGGCAGGCTCTAAGGAGAAGCCTGTGTGCAAAATGACTAGTCTGCAATAGTCAGGCGGTGCTGGGACAGGGTGGTTGTAATAGCAATCAGAGGGTTGTATGTTCTGGGTTAGTCGGAGAAGCAGCTCCTTTGGTTATGCCTTGCTCTGTCCTGGAGAAGCAGAGGTTTGGGCACATGTGTTTGTGGTTTGGCCCGGTTCTTGCGTTTTTCCACTGAAGCACTTCAGTATTTTTAGGCTGAAAGAGGCGGCTCGGTGCTATGCTGGAAGGCTCGGAGCCATCCTGCGGAGGAAGGACACTGCCTGCTATCTCTCCCTGTAAAGTGAAATATGGAGAGTGGAGTATGAGAATAAATAGTAGGAGCCACCGTCCCTGGCCATAGCACGGCTGAGGTCAAGGGCAGGAAGAGGGGGCTCCAAGCTGCTGGCTGGTGGCCTGGAGAGCCCACACACGCGTGAGCTGCTAGGCTCAGATAACCCTGTGAGACAGCAGCAGCCAGCCCCAGCATTTCCCAAAGGCGAGATGTCTGCTCTTCCTCCTGCAAGGACCTGGATGCTGCAGACACACCACTCCTGGGAAAACAACCTGGCCCGCACAACCTGGTGCGCAGCCAAGGCGATCGTGTCTGCAGGGAACGCTGGCGCTGAGGTCCGGTGCGCACAGCACCTCCGGTCGGTGGGACGCGAGGTGGATGGGAAACGTCAGGAGGAGCAAGAGCTTCCAGAGGTCTCGAGGCAAAGTAGGGAATCCGTCAGAAAGGACCTGGGGGGGATGGTAGACACCGGGTTGAATACAAACCAAACATCGGTCTTGTGAATCAAGGAAACCGCATTTACTCTCCTTTAGGAGAAGGGGAGCCAGCAGATCGAGGGGAGAGCAGAGCCAGCACACGTCAGTGCAGAGAGGTTCCTCTAATCCAGAATACCCTGAAACAGACCCATTTGAGCCACATTTTTGGCAAAGAGATAGGAAGCATGGACACAGGAAGGTCTGGGCTCCCAGAACTGCGGCTGCAACAGCACCCCCAAAAGCGGCGGGGCTGCTGCTGGCCTCTTGCCGGCTGCTCCCCACGGCAGGATCTAACGACTGCTGCAGGCAAGCTTCTGTTCGGAAAGAATTTCATGTTTTCCACAAATGTTATCGAAAGTAGGAAATCCAGTTAGCCACGTCGAGTCCGAGAGCGGGGCTGTGGCCTCGGGTGAAGACAGTTGGACTTGATGATCTTAGAGGTCTTTCCCAACCTTAATGATTCTGTGATTCTATGATTCTAAGAGCAGAGAGGCACAGGGACGCGGTGCCTGCCAGGGAGAACTGAACTGGGAGCTGCAGGAACCTGCATGGGCAGAGGTTCCCAGGCAGCACAGAGACCAGACCGCGACGCCTGCTCCAACTCCGATTTATTGAACATTACAAAATACTCTGCATATATTTTCACATTAAAACAATATTCTTGCAAATAAGATATTAAGTCTTGAGTCATTTGTGGTGCCCAATGGCTAGAGAAAACACTGACCCAGCTAGAGATCTAGTATGGCCTGATATCAGAAATCAAAACCAGAATAAGGCATACCAGAAATGCAAAACTATATAAAAACCTTTTAAAAACCTCATGCTCATCCGGTGGGACAGGTACAGAGCAGAACGGCCTTTCCTGAGCCTTGCTAACAGTACCAGGGGGTACCGCCAGCTCACTTGCCCGATGTTGGGCTCACCCACCCAGTGCATCCAAGTGTCCCCTTGCCCCCAGCTGTCTCAGCACGCCCACGTAGCTGGAACAGATAATTAACGACCTGCTTTGGGGCATTAAGGCCCATTCTTCCTTAAGAGGAGCACCCCCAACCCTCCCGCATTGCCGGCGCCCAGCTGCCGTGCTGAGCTTCTGCACGCTGAGCAGTTCTTGGGGGGCCGCTCTTGGTCCTTGGGGGTCACGCCAGGGATAATTCACTGTGTGGGCCATCGCCACCGGGTCCCACCACCCTCTCAGGAGTGACCGGGGGCACCTGGGAGGCGAGTGGTGGGGACAGACCTTTTAAGATGCGCTCAGCTCTGGCCCATCACCCCTGTTCCCGATGTACATTCATACCTGCTGCTCGCTCCACTCCTCGCGCCATGACCAGCCCTCCCAGCTGACAGGCCCCAGGCAACTGGAAGGACTGGGATGTGCGCAGGATGAATGCCAGGGAGGCTGTGCAGGGCAGCTGCCTCCCAGCAAAGCCAGAAAGCTGAACACCG